TAAAGAGAGACAAGATTAGGATGGAAGATAAAGATACAGAGAAGGAGGGAGAGAATCAGGATACACAGAGGGGAAGATTTGGGAGAGACAGCAGGATAAAAAGAAAAAGGTGGAGAGAGAGAATTATAAAGAAAAAAGGGAGGAAATGGGAGAAATAGTATGATAAAGAGAAGTAGGAGGAAATGGGAAAGAGAGCAGGAAGAGTTGGAAGAAACAGCAGGATAAAGAGAGAGAGGAAGAGTTGGGAGAGAGTGTGAGATAGAGAAATAAAGAGTTGGGAAAGAGATCATGATGAAGAAAGAGAGAAGGAAGTGGGAGAGAGAGGAGGACAAAGGAGAGAGCAAAAGTCGGGAGAGAATGCAGGATAAGAGGGTGAGGAAGAGTTGGGGGAGAGAGCAGGATAAGAAAGTGATGAAAAGTTGGGAGAGAGTGCAGGATAAATAGATAAAGGAAGAGTTGGGAGAAAGAGCAAGATAAAGCGAGAGCGGAAGAATTGGGAGAGAGTACGCGATAAATAGAGAGACGAAGAGTTGGGAGAGGGAGGATGAGGTGGGAGAAAAAGAGCAGAATTAAAAAGTAGGTAGGGTTGGTGGGAGGGACAGGAACAAGATTAAGAAAGAGGTAGAAGTCAGGGAAGAGAGATAAAATTGGAATAAATAGATAGGAAAAGAATGGCAGAGAGAAAGAAAGAATCAGTATAAAGAGGAAGTGAGCGGAGAAGAGAGAGTGACGCAGGATGAAAAGAATGGGAGAGGAAAACAGTGATTAAGAAAGGGAGTGAGAGGGAAAAAGAAATAACACAGAGAAAATAATGTATGTAGTCGAAACAAAGAATGAGGTAAGCAGATGAAAGTAAGCAGAACAATAACAAAAGAAAGAAGGAAAAGATCATAGTGGGTGAGTCAATAAAAGGAGAGGAGAAATGAGTAAAAAGATATATGGAGGAGTAAAAGCATAAACAGAGGGAGAGAAAATAGGAGGATGTAGTACAACAGAGAAAAAGAGAGAGGGAAAGATGGATAGAGGGGGAAATAAAGAGAGCATATGGGAAGTAGAAAGCGGGAGGGAGACAGCAGGGAAATTGTAAGGTGGGGGGGAGAGAGGGAAAAGGAATTGAAAAATGGGGAAGGGTAAAGGGGGAGAGTGTGAGGAGGTAATAGAGAATTAAGAAAATTATACAAGGTTATTATATGTATTCATGTGAAATGAAGAGGAAGAAAAGAGAGAGAAAAAAAAACAGAAAGATTAGACAAAGTTCTTTTAAACAAAAAGTTAAAATCTACATTTAGATAACACACAATAGACAATACAATATAAAGTATAATGTAACAGTGTACAGAATAGAATACACATCCAGACTGTGGGGGAAAAAAGCTCTTTTAAATATTGCAACCAATCCGATCCTTTTTATTTCTTTTATGGCTTGGACTGGAAATTACAGTTAGAATCTGATAACTGTTGGCAACCCACACTGCTTAGTTGTTATGATAAGGTCCCTTTTAGAATGATCGCATTGGTCTACACTCAGTTCTTTTTCACTGATCTTTTCACTGATCCAAATAAGTGTTTCAGACCATACTCTGACTTGATACTTCTTCCAGATCAGTGACTCAAAGTATTGGGGCAGCAGGCCAGCATAACAGCTAGGCAACTAGCATTTTCAAGCAGCAGTCCCCATGTCTCTTAGGAAAGGTTTACAAATTACTGGTGGGTGTAATTGCTTCTGGAATAAATATTAATTTCCGATCTTCGGGAAGACTCATGATTAAGTATTGAAAAATTTATCTGTAATTAGTTTCCATCGTACATATTTCCAAGCATGGAAAAATCCCTTCTATCCGGGAATAGACGCCACCGCCAAAGTCTGGATTATTATTTTCTAATTGTCAATTCAGACACCGGATGTTCTTTGGAAAATCACTTTTTTTTTGCACACATGAAGGATAAACCAAACCAAACCGATACTGTGTTAAAGGCAGACACTTAGGGCTGAGCCGCTCACTGATATTTCTATCCTCAGGGCCAATAATTCTTCAGTACAAGCGAACGAATAATTATCATTATTCCACCTATTATGTTGCACTAGTAGCTAATTGATGGGTATTTCATTTTAGTATTTGATTTTTAAAGAGCTCAAATAGCAAATACTTCTGAAAGTTCACCTGCCAAAAACCTGGGAATTAAAACTAAGTACATAATATATAAATGCATTTACAGGTTACCAGTGAAAGCCAAATGTCAATGCGACAAGCAGATCCAGAGATACAGCAACTAGAGCTGCAAATATATCTTGATTGTTCTTTTGAAAGTTAAACCCAAAAACAAAATTGTAATATATTGGAGCTTGCTGGCCCTTAAAATGTGGTGGCTGCATTCGTTTTTATTTTTTTCAGGCTTTTTCCTTTTATTTTCAACTGGTATTCCTGTGTGTAGCACAATTTCTGTCTTAGAGTGACAACATTACCAAACCGTACTGTATCTAAGAAGCAGTGTTGTTAGCATAGGATAGGACTACAGAACACCTCTGAGTGCAGAAAAGGTAGGGAGCAGAGGAAGTTATCAACTTCAAGGTATACAGGCAGGACCAACAGGCTTTTTTTTTTCTCTTACCAAAAAAATGTTTTTTTTGCTAACCCGGGAAAAGTTGTACTTGAGGAAGGTCCTTGTAGCCTGAAACATTGAACAACTTGGTACCATCAACAACGGTGTCCCTCTCTCAGTAGGAGGAACGGTGTCCCTCTCTCAGTAGGAGGAACGGTGTCCCTCTGTCAGTGGGAGGAATACTGTCCCTCTCTCAGTAGGAGGAATGGTGTCCCTTTGTCAGTGGGAGGAATGGTGTTCCTCTGTCAGTGGGAGGAATGGTGTCCCTCTGTCAGTGGGAGGAATGGTGTCCCTCTGTCAGTGGAAGAAATGGTGTCCCTCTGTCAGTTGGAGGAATGGTGTCCCTCTGTCAGTTGGAGGAATGGGGTCCCTCTGTCAGTTGGAGGAATGGGGTCCCTCTATTTTTTTTGAATGGTGCCCCCTCTATTATTTGTAGGAATGGTGCCCCTCTGTCAGAGGAAGACATGGTGTCCCTCTGTCAGAGGAAGAAATGGTGTCCCCCTGTCAGTTGGAGGAATGGGGTCCCTCTGTCAGTTGGAGGAATGGGGTCCCTCTATTTTTTTTGAATGGTGCCCCCTCTATTATTTGTAGGAATGGTGTCCCTCTGTCAGTTGGATGAATAGTGTTCCTCAGTCAGCAGGAGGAATGGTGTCTCTCTATTATTTGTAGGAATGGTGTCCCTCTGTCAGTTGGAGGAATAGTGTTCCTCAGTCAGCAGGAGGAATGGTGTTCCTCTGTAATTTGGAGGAATGGTGTCTCTCTGTCAGTGGGAGACATGGTGTCTTTCTGTCAGTAGGCAATGAGAAAGCTCTGCCGTAAGTGGCCCACAAGTCGTAGTTTGTGGTGCGCTGATCTAAAATATTTCAAGGGATTTCAAACTATAAACAGTCAAAAATACAGATCATCTACCCAACCTCCTCCTCTTGCTGTTTGAAATATGTATCTATCAGCCATTGCTTTATTATGAGTCTGGGCTTGGTGCAAACTCAGTTCCTCCAAACCCGCTCCGAACTCTGACTGCCGCACCCTCCTTTCTGACACAAAAAGTGGCGGCAGTGGCGGAGGGGCATTCCCTGGCCCTTTGTGACATATAGTTGCGGGCCGGGGAATGAACCTCCTTGCAACTGATTGGGTGTGGAGGAGGGAGTGGTAGTCAGAGTTTTGAGCGGGCTTGGGTGAACTCAGGTAAACTTCCTTGCCCCTGCAACAGAATAGAGCAAAAGAAAGGTGCTGCTGGAATGAGGAACATTAAGTAGAACCCATTGCTTTGTCCTATGTGGGCAAAATACATCTTTTCGGATGGTCATGTCTATCCATTGCAAAATTTGAATGTAGTATACCAATAACAATTGATAATCTATGGTAGTCATTATTATTA